TGTCTTCACACTTGCTTCTTTTCTGTATTTAATAAATCCTCCTTAATTCTTTCTATGAATCTACAAGTTTGCTTATTTGTAAAACTTCCATTTTTTCCCTCATTAACACCACCCAATTCATATGACTGTGTCATGAATGAATACCTTTGTAACGTTTCTTAGCACAAATGGATGCCTTTACATACATATAGAGGGAACTCTACACTTTGACTATTAGTGATACTAGTTTTGGTTTTGTTTTTCTTTTTGTTATGGTAGGTAGGTTAATACCAATGAGGCCAATTATATGACCAGAATGGTAGACTTTGACTTCAGGATTTTCTCTTGTTTTTCTCTCTTCTAGGAATCATATAACTTTGGGGTTGAACTTGACTTTAGAAGCATTACTTTAGTAAAACTTCACAACTGATGCTTAAGTTCCCTGAACGATATACCATACGCTCATCCTCTCCTGTACTCTCCCTCACCCTCATCTTAGCTCCAAAATACAGAATAGCCTTGACTAACTTCTTTCATTGCAGAGGCTTATCAGTAGAGCATGGTGAAAGCCTTAAGAAGAGTGGTAGGGGTCCAGCAGGTGGCATAGTGGTTAAGGTACTAGACTCCCACATGGGCGACTGCAGACCTGGCAGCTTCAAACTCACATTGGGTGCAAGTGCATGCGTGCCCAAAATCCCAAGAAGAGAATGGAGAAGGGACTGTGGTGTGGCTATCTACCCTGGGGTGTGATTTCTTACTTTCCATCTCTCTATCTCCCTCTGTCTTTCTGGGAAGGACATGTGTCCTATAGCAAAACTCTCAAAAACAAGAGTGGTACAATAAACAAATAATCAAACAAGACAAAACAACTCCCCTCCTCCAAAATTTAAGTTGTTTTGCTATTAATTGCAGGTCAAGCATGAGGAATTTCAAGTATTTTTCAGCAGAGTAAAAGACTATTCATTCCAATAGTTTTCATAAGACATTGCATGCTCATAAAGGCAGTATGTATTGGCAACTTCTCAGGCTAAATTTATCAATACAGTTTTTTAAAATCTCTTTATTAAAAGAATGATTAATAATAGGAATGAAAATGGATTCCATTATTCAGTCTACAAAATATCCCTAGCTTTGCATACATAATTACATTGAAAGAAATCTATTTTAGAGAGTTTTTAGAACCCACTACTATCACACACACATACTCAGGCACAAATCACCACGTGGAAAAAATAAATGCAAAGTACCTTTCAAAAATGTGAATAGGGGGACCAGCAGTTAGCATAATGGCTATGTCGCTGGACTCCCATGTAGTCAACCATGGTTCCCGGACCCGGTGGCTTAAAACTCACGCCAGGTGCATGTGCGTGCGTGCCCAAGATCCTGAGAGGAGAATGGAGGAGAAGGGATTGCGGCGTGGCCATCCCCCCTGGGGGGTGATTTCTCACTTTCTGTCTCTCTGTCTCTGTCTGTCTGTCTGGCGAGCGCACGCGCCCTATAGCAAAAACCTCTCCAAAAAAAAAAAAGGAAATAATGAAGCAAAAAGGTTTTTTCCTTTTTCTTTTTTCTTTTTCTTTTTTTTTTTAGTGCCTAACACTTGCAGGATATTTGCTATGCTCTAGTTTCTATGTGTATACATTATTATGCCATTGAATTCTTCAACAACTGTGAGGAAATAGCAGAAAACTGGTTTCCCTACTTCTACCCTTCACAGTGAACTTTGACATAGAAGATACAATAATAACTGTTTTTCAGTGGTCTAAATATAGTCATAAACTTGTATAGACATCTCTATTGAGTTTCAGAACATTTTCAGCATTTCAAAAGAAACGTAAGAGTCATGCCCATTTTTCTTTGTACTACTTTACATTTTAATATCTAAAACAATTAGACATGAATTACACAAATGAAGATTAATTAGTTACTTGTATAGGAAACATTTGCTGTTTTAGTCTATTAAGTTGTAGGGTGTGTAAGTTACACAGAAGAGCTAACTAATATAGTATCTTGACATCTATGAAAATAAAGAGGAAAAAAATGATGCTACCAAGGACATATGAAAAGATAGTGGTTGTAATTCAGAATGTGTATCTTTATCTTTTAACATGTGGTTTAGATTTGAAGCCAAAACTGTGCTTTTTATCCCAGATTTAGGTAGCCTTCAGCTACATTGAGTCACTGACTCTGCTAGAGAAAAACAAACCTGCACTGCTTGGAAGCCCTTTGCTACATGGTTGGGAGCAGAACAGAACACACATTCTCTCATGGCTCATGGTAGACTGAACTGGGAGAGGGCAGGAAGAGGCCGAGTTGAGCATGCTGTATGTAGGTGCTAAGTCCTACCCTCTGCAGAGGAGAGAGTTGACTCTAGTGGCATGGGCATGACAGATTGCAATTTTAGAAGGTGGTAGGAAGATCAGGAAAAGAGCTATTGCGATGGCCGCAACACGTGGGCTCCTGTATGAAAAGAAGAAAAGGCAAGACTTCTGATGGGGTTGAAGTTGGTTTGTTCTTCTGTGCTTGATTCTTTTTTTCTTAAAGAATTACTTCATTAACATTTATTGAGTTTAATTGGACCAGAGAGGGACAGAGATATTGAGAGAGTGAGAGAAAGTGAGAAAGCAAGCCACCAGGTCTGGAACTTGAACTGCGGTTGGCCATGTGGGAGTCCATGACAGCTGCCGGCCTGGTGCTTGATTCTGAGATGTATCAGGGGTACTTTCGCATCTGGATTTCAAACAAGAGGAAGAACCTCTTTACTCAGTTTCATAATTGCCCTTTGGAAACCATCTACTGGCAAATCCTTCAATCATATGTCCTTTTTGAGTCATTCTTTTGTATGGTAATTTGCTCTTGGTTCGGGAGGCATAACAGGTTCATTACCTATCATATCCAGCTCTCACTTGGAGGGTAGAATGAAGGAGAAGGGACACAGGACTTGCCCCGAGTCCCGACTATGTCTCTGAGGAACATTGCTGCAGTAATGTACTACAAGTTGTTCAAGCCTCACTATATGCAACCTCCACTCCTTTGAGAAGTGAGATTTCTGCTCCTCTCCAAAAAGGTTATATCTATTTTTCTACTCTTTGAATCTGGACTGGACTTTATGACATGCTTTGGTAAAGTGACAAAAACAGATGCTTCAAAAATGCTTGCACATTAGGTTTTGCTCTCTCTTTTGCCTTCCAGCATGTGAACAAGACTAAATTAGCTGAATGGAGGATAAGAGACTGTGTGGAATGAGATTCTAGTTGTCCCAAACTTCCCAGTCATTCCCACACTCTCAGCTGTGTCCCAGACAAGGGAGTGAGTGAGCGTGTCAACCCTAGACTGTCCAGTCAAGTACAAGTACCTGCAGAGCAGTAAAACATCAGCCAGAGCAGTAAAACATCAGCCAGTATAGAATGTTGAAAAATAGAAAATGTTGCCATTTTAGGCCTCTAATTTGTAGAGTGGTTTGTGACACTGAGTGGTTTGTTACACAGAAAAGTTAGCACCTTAATAGCTATGAAAACAAAGAGAGAAAATATAATAATTCTATAAGAATATGAGAAACAATGGTTATAATTCAAAATTAATTTAATCTTGAGCTTCCTGGGTATAAGAGAAAAGCAAGATCAGATTATGTAGTTCTCATTATTTGAAAAAATAAGTAAATAAATATGAAGAGTGATATTTTCCTGACCCTCCAAAAAAGGGGGGCACACACGCACATGTACCCAGCATGCCTTTCAAGCAGCCAGGTATGGAACTCAAACCACAGTTGACTATATGGGAGTCCAGTGCCTTAACTGCTATGCCACCTGCAGACCCCAGTAATGTGAATATATTAATAATTAAATATTCACCACATGAGTGAAATTTGGACTTCAGATTTCAGTTTTGATGGTATTAAATTATTTTTTATCATGATCAATTTCTCACATTTTCTTTTTCTACACCATTGCTACATATTTATTGAACCTAAACTACATATTATGCGTTGTGCTAAGTACTTTATATGTACCAATTCATGCAATCCTTTTATCTGTTCTAGAAGGCAAATAATATACACTTGTCCTATTTGGGGCCCTTAAATGACCCATTTTATCTGTGCAAACTTCCGCTAAAGCTGCATTAAGAAGTTGTAAATCAATGTGGGAAGTTTTGGGAAGTGGTCCTTTTAAATAAAATCAAATTATATCCTTACCTCAAAACGTTATACTAAAATAAATTTAATTGTTTTTTTAAGTTGCCACAAGGAATTTAAAGGGAGGGTGAGACAGAGTGAGGGAAGAGAGAAAGCACTCCACAATGAGGGATGATCTGGTCATGTCACAATCCCTTCTCCATTTCTCCATCACTTCAGGATTTTGGACACACATACACCTGCACCTGGTGTGTTTTTCAAGCCCCTGGGGCATAGATTGGAACTTTGATGAACCATTTGGGATCTAGTTCCCCATGCACAACACTTAATCAGTGTGCTCTGGGATAACTCCTAAAATAAATTTTAGAAGCATTTGGCCAAGAATAAAATGGAGGGGCTGGCAGGTGAATGGTGGTTAAGGTGCTGGACCTCCACATGGCTGATCATGGTTCAGATCCTGGATCTAGAGACTTGCTTTCTGTCTCTGTCTCTCTTTGGTCAAATTGAAAAAAAAAAAAAGTGATGTTAATGACAAATAAAAAATTAAATAAATAATTCTTAAAAAATTAAATGGAAAGTTAACCCACAAGTAGGTGGATTATCCAGAATAAAGAAAAATTTTATATCATACAAACATTTAAGATGATCACAGGCCTAGCTGCAGTAGCATTCATTGTTTGACACTGCTACTTGGCAGCTGAGGCCTCACTGCAAGGCCTGGTTCAATTCCCAGCCTAATCTAAAGACCCCATGATATCTGTCTAACCCACCTACTTGGGAGACTAAGTATGACTACAGTGAGGCTTTGTCTTTAAAAAAATTACAAAGAAAATTATCAATAGGAAAATAGTTGAGTATACCCTAATGAAATAATATGATTTCTTTCCCACAGGAATACAAACATTATTGGACAGAGTTGCGAGGAACCACACTATTCTTTTATGCCGACAAAAAAAGTACAATAGTAAGTAATTATACATGTGTAACTTGTTCAAGTTTTTCCAATATACCCTTGTCATGTAGTCTATTACTCATTTTGAATATTTTTGCTATCCAACAGTGAAGACGATGTAATAAAACCAATTCAAACACAAAAACTAAATCTATGAAGGTTGTCAATTACGGTAAATCCAATAGTAAAATTTCCTGACCAATTCCAAAAAAGGCATTAGCTCATATTTTTAAGTTTGCATTCTTTCTGATTCTGATAATAAAAAGTTAGTTAAAAAGTAAAACTTTTAGGGAATCAGCAGTTAGCACAATGGCTATGTCAGTCGTTGGACTCCCATGTAGTCTACTGTGGTTCGAGTCCCGGACCCGGCGGCTCAAATTCACGCCAGGTGTGTGTTTGTGTGTGTGTGTGTGTGTGTGTGTGTGCCAAAGATCCCTAGAGAAGAACGGAGGAGAAGGGACTGCAGCATGGCCATCCCACCCCCCCAGGGGGGGGGTGATTTCTCGCTTTCTGTCTCTCTGTCTCTCTCTGTCTTTCTGGCAAGCACACGCGCTCTGTAGCAAAAACCTCTCCAAAAAAAAAAAGTAAAACTTTTAGGACCAGTAGATGCTATAATAGTTATGTCGCTGGACTCCCATGCAGTTGACTGTGGTTCGAGTCCCAGATCCAGTGGCTTAGAACTCATGCCAGGCATGTGCGTGTGCGTGCTCAAAATACCAAGAAGAGAATGAAGAATGGACTGTGGCATGGCCATCCCCCCCAGGGGGTGATTTCTCACTTTCTGTCTCTCTCTGACTCTCCCATGTGAGTGCATTCACCCTATAGCAAAAATTTTCCCCGCCCCACAAGAAAAAAAGGTAAAACTTTAAGCTAGACATCTGGATGTAAATGGCCTAATAGCAAGTGACAGATTCAATTTTCCCACTCTTTACCTTGCTGGAGCATGCAGTTAACATCTGAAAGAAGCAGGATGACTCCTATAACATCATAATAATAAATAATGCCACAATTTAATTCTCTAGAAAAATGAAAATAGGGTTGACCCAATGGCATAGAGGTTAGAGGAGCCAGATTCCACATGGCCAACTGCATGATTCAGATCTTGGCCCAGGTGACTTGAAAACCACACTGGGTTTTCATATACATGTGCATACATGTGCTCTAAGACCAAACAGGATGGAGAAATAGAGGAGAAGGGACTACAACGTAACCATGCCCCATTGTGGGGTGCTTTTTCCTTTTCCTCTCCTCCTCTCTGTTTCTCTTTGGTGAGTCCACACATCTGGCAAATTAAAATATAAAAAATAAATAAAAAGTAACTAACGGATGGCATAATGATTGTGTTGCAGGACTGCTGCATGTTGACTGCAGTTCAAGTCCCGGAGGGGCTGGTAGGTGAATGGTAGTTAAGGCACTGGACTCCCACATGGCTGATCATGGTTCAGGTCCTGTGCATGCATGCCCAGGATCCCAAGATGAGATTGGAGGAGAAGGGACTGTGGTGTGGCCATACCTCCTGGGGGGTGATTTCTTGCTTTCTGTCTGTCTCCCTTTATATCTCTGGTGAACACATGCACTCTATAGCAAAAATCTCTCAAAAAAAAAGAAAAAAGATAAAAATATACCCCATGAAGTAGGACCTCCAAGAGTTTAAGCATGCAAATAATAATAAAGAGATTCTGAGATTTATTTATTCATATTCACTCCAAATTCTGATTGTTTAGTTTTTTCCATAAACAAGATGTAGTATTTTAGCAAAGCTTCTTGCCTACTTTGGAGCTGCTATACTTGTAAGAATTTTATGAGACAGTAATATTTTTTTTTTCCAGAGAGATTTTTGCTATGGGTATGTTTACTCTCCAGAGAGAAAGACTGAAAGTGAGAAATCACCCTCCAGGAGAACAGCCATGCTGCAATCTCATCTCCTCCATTCTCCTTGCAGAAATTTGGGCACACACACACACATCCCAGTGTGCGTGTTAAGCCACTGGGTCTGGGACTCGAACTGAGGTCGATCACATGGGAGTCCAGTGATGTAACCATTACACCATCTGCTAGTCCCAATAATTTTTAAAAATATAAACATATTAGATCACACCACAGATATGTTAGCCTATGCTTTTTAGAACATCATTATTAGATGCCCAGATTTAATGAAAGAAATAAACAGGCTGCATGATGTCTTCCTCCTAGAGGTGTTTCAGTGCCATTGGTGGTGAATTAGCAGAAGCTATTTGAAAAACCAACAGCAAACAATAAAACAAACTTAAAATAGTCATCATTTACCAGAACTCTGGACAGACAAGATTTATACAAGGGTGCTTGCAAATACCATTAACAAAAACAAACAAACAAATTTCTCTGTTGAGCATTCCAACTTCCCATTGCTGTCAGTACGTATAAAAGACCCTGGTCTAAGCTTTGTATAATGCACAATGAACGAGAGCTAACAGTTGTTGTCCACTTGTGTATGGCAAGAGTCAGTTCAGCTTAGTGACTGAGAGTCTGATCTCTCCAGACAGACCAGCTTTTTATCCTGGTCCTGCTACTGTTAGCAGTGCGATCTTGGGGGTAGTTACCTAACCTCTCTGTGTTTCAGTGAATCAGACATAGAACTGGTAGGAAACAGATGACATCTCCAATTGAGTGATGTACAGAGTATAATAGAGGTTTAGTAAATATTCAAAGCTGTGGACAGAGCATAGGAAAATCACAAAGGACAATACACAACCCTGGGGCTAGTAACAGTGCTCTATCACCATGCGTAGGAGCAAGAGAAAAGAGTGGAAGAGTAGTAGGTGTAGGCTCTTCTATTGAGGGAGCAACTTCACAGGGTAGTAAGTCCCCATCCTCATTCTCTTCATTCTGCTGACCTACTGCCAGTGTTCTCCATGGTCTGATCCAACAAAAATGCACAAGATAAGAGAACCCCTTGGTGCTGTCCATATGGGTCCCCCTCCTGGGACAAAGCTTTGGGTAGTGACATGATAGATGTGAATCTAGATGAGCAAACGAATCTTCCACACACTCAAGACTCCGAATGTCTAGCATTAGGATGAAATTGCTCATATCATCAAGCTATCAACGAGTTAAATGAGATAGTACATGTAAAGACTCAAGAGGGCACCTGACACAAAGTAAGTTCACACATTTTAAGTGCTTGATTACAATTTAAATGTATTATCTCAATGAATTCTCACAAGAACTGCTGAGTGAGTGCTATTTTAATCACCATCTTATAGAAGAGAGTAGCCACGTTTAAGAAATAAGAAATTATATGCAATCAGGGCCAGTTCAGTGATGCAGTGGTAATACACACTAATAGTAAATGGAGCTTGATCTATATGAAAAATTGTGGATTCAGTTCCTCTACATGCTGGACAGAGATGCATGATCCAGGCTGTCTGGGCAGGCTGAGGGAAGGATGGGGAGGGAGACTGTGGTGTGAAATTCTATCGAAAGTGCTTGCTCTCTGTCTCCTCCTCTCTGTGTGTCTCTATCTCTCACTCTCATAAAACAAGTAAAAATAAAATTAAGAAAAATAAACTGTAGATTAGCTAGCTAACAAAAGGGGTACACTCCAGGGTTGGCTCCTAAGCAAGCACCTCACCACCACTTTTTATTTTAATTTTATAAAAGAGAGAGGGAGAGAGAGAGAGAGGTGTTTAATAGAGTCTTGCTCTGTTGTGATCCTCCTACCTGAGCCTCCCAATTAGCTAGCATTATAGGTGTGCATAACCGGGACTCGTGTGCTCTGGCTGGCTCACAAACTGAACCTGGACCTCCCATGTCACTTCCAGCCTCCCAGGTAGTGGCGCTGTGAGCCACCATGGCTCTAAGCCAGTCCTCTGAATCACTATGCCATGAAGAGATTGTTATAAAAGGCTACAGAATTGTCCATCTACTGATTTTGTTAAAAGAAGTTTCTTGGATGGTAGTCTCAGAAGCACTGGGTAAACTGGGTGAGAACTGCTGGTATTTAGACTGCAGCAGGGAAGAATTTAGAGCTGCCTTTCAGTATCTGACTAGGTATTAGGAAGTCACATGAAAGAGTCACTAAATTTGTTTAGTGTTATTCCAGAGAAAATGGACTAAGACCAATGAATGGAAATCTGGAGAAAAACTATGACTCAATACAAGAAAAATTTTGCTTACAGGTAGAGCTACTTAGAAGGCATGAGCCCCTAGTTGTTAGAAATGTTCAGGGTTGGGAACAGCAGTTAGCATAATGGCTATGTCGCTGGACTCCCACGTAGTCAACCGCGGTTCGAGTCCTGGACCCGATGGCTTAAACTCACGTCGTGTGCATGTGCGTGCGTGCCCAAGATCCCAAGAGGAGAATGGAGGAGAAGGGACTGTGGTGTGACCATCCCCCCTGGGGGGTGATTTCTCACTTTCTATCACTCTGTCTCTCTCTGCCTGTCTGGCAAGCATACGTGACCTATAGCAAAAACCTCTCCAAAAAAAAGAAAAACAAACAAAAAGAAATGTTCAGGGTTTGGGGCCAGGAGATGGTGTAGCGGTTACATTGCTAGACTTCCACATGACCAGTTCCTGAACCGGGTGGCTTGAAAATCACGCCAGGCACCTGTGCGTGCATGTCCAAGATCCCCGAAGAAGAATGGAGGAGAAGGGATTGCAGTCTGGCCATCCCCCCAGAGGGTGATTTCTCACTTTTCCTCTCACTGTCTCTGTCTCTCTCTTTGTGTGCATGCGCCCTAAGGTAAAAATCTAAAAAAAAAAAAAAAAAGGAAAGAAAGAAAGAAAAGAAAAGGAAAGTTCAGGGGCCTGCGGATGGTGAGGTGTTTGAGGCGCTAGACTCCCAACATGGCTAGCCACAGTTCAAGTTCCAGTGTTGGTGGCTTGCTCTCTCACTTTATCTTTCTCTATCTCTGGTGACTGCATGTACCCTGCAGCAAATTGAAAAATAACAATGATAAATAAATAAAAAATTAATTTTAAAAAATGTTAAGATGTAGATTGGATGATGACATGAAGAGCTACCATGGAGGAAACGAGACTCAAATATCGATTGCAACTAGATTAGACAGGTGACTTTTAAGGCTCTTCACACTACAGTTAAATACAAAAAGATATTACTTCCTTTCCTCTAATCAATGGAGCAGCTATCTAAATATGCTACCTCTTCCTCTCTTGTTTCCTCCTTTGCTGCAATGAAATTCTCCAAAGTTGACCTAGACAATCCATCAGAGAAGTCCTTGTTTAATTTTTTTTAAATTTATGTGTTCATTCTTAGAAAGACAGAGACAGAGACAATCCTAACGATCTCCATGCCGTATGTCAACACCAACCTCAGCCAGCCAGAATCATAGGCATTCATGTGTGCCAGGTGTGTACAGGGAGACCTTAGGATCTAAACCAAGAGCCTACCCACATGACCACAGCATTACAGAGCATTGAGTCCCCACTATGACACTGCAGCTGGTCTAATTTTAAATTCGGTCTTCCTTCCCTGTACCTATCCTTCCCTTTTTTAACAAACAACGATTTATTTAATTTTATATTTATTATTATTTTTAAAAACTTACTGTAGGGCACAAGCGCTCACCAGAGAGGCAGAGAGAGAGAAGGAAAGCAAGAAAGCAAGCAAGCTGCCAGGTCCGAGGCTCGAACTGTGTTCAGCAATGTGGGAATCTAGCACCTTAACCACCACTCCACCTGTCAACCCAATCTGTCCTTCCATTTTAATTGTTCTTTGTTCATTAAAAATAAACAGATAGCCCACATTTACCATTAAAATAGAAATAACTCTGGGGCCAGCCCTGTAGCTCAGTGTTTAAATGCTGTGCATAGTTCCCACATGGCCGACTGCAATTTGAATTGTGGTTCTGGTAACTTGAAAAACACACCAGGCAGGGACCAGCAGTTAGCGTAATGGCTATGTCGCTGGACTCCCATGTAGTCGACCGCGGTTCGAGTCCCGGATCCAGTGGCTTAAACTCACGCCGGGCACGTGTGCGTGCGTGCCCAAGATCCCCAGAGGAGAATGGAGGAGAAAGGGATTGCGGCGTGGCCATCCCCCCTGGGGGATGATTTCTCGCTTTCTATCTCTCTGTCTGTCTGGCGAGCGCATGTGCCCTATAACAAAAACCTCTCAAAAAAACCAAAAAAAAC